CAACCGCCCCCCGCCCGCCCTTAGAGGCGGGACTGCAACGCCAAACCGCCAGCTGAGCATCCTGTCTGTGGTTCCGGCTCTGTTCTCTGTTCCAGTCTCCAGTGCTCTAAGGTCCCCACTAATCCTAGAGAAAGCCCTGCCTTCTAGGGATTGGGAAGTGGCGAGCAGCGAGAGAAAGGAGCGACAGGAGTTATCAGGTGGTGGCAAGAGCTGTCACACTTGAGGCAGGGGCGGCCTCCCCGGAGAAGGGGCATTCAGCAGACCGGAGGGGTGGGGCGGGAAGGGGCAGGGGAGGACAGTGATCAGGCGTGGTGGAGGGCACGTTTTCTTCTTTTCTTCCTGTCACGGGACACGTTGGGAAGTTCTGAGAAAGGGAATCCAGCATGCTCAGTTCTGAGTTAACTCCCCTTCCGCCTCCCCACAGCTGGGAAGAAACCTGCGTTTCCAGCCCCGGGGAGGCAGGCCCAGCTGCCTGCCTGCGATCGCCTGGGATCACCTGGGACCCCAGTTACTCTGTGTCCTGGACCCAGGAGGCGCTCAGGGTAGAGACCCCAGATCCCAGAACAAGGCGTCACACCGGCGTCGAGCCAGGTCAGTCAAAGCTGACAACGTGAAATGTACCATTCGGATGGAGCCGAGCGAAAGCCGGTAGAGGAAAAACTGCTGACCGCTGCCCTGGAATGGGAGGCTTCGCGGAGGCTTCAAGTTCAACCTCGTGGACACCAAGGCGATTCTGACTCAGAGTGAGCCTGCAGGAGGGCGTAGAGCCACTGTGGGTTTCTGAGGCTGTAACTCCGAAGGCGGTGACGCTTTACAGGAGTAAAGAGCCTCATCCTTCTCCCGCAGTGCCTGATAGTTTCAAACCATTGACCTCTGGGGGTTCAGTCCAGCTGGTAACCACTATATTACCAGGGCTCCTTCCAATAATTTGGCTTTTTAAGGTTTTATTGTGGTTTAGGTCAAAGCGCTCATTCAATAATGTATACATACATTGCTATGTGATCCTGGTTGCAGTTTCTCCAATGTGTCAGCTCTCTCCCCACTTCCACACTCGGTTTCCCTGTGGGAAAGAAGGATTTCTCCCAAGTTGTCTCCCCCAAATATATGCCAAACTTAGCTGCTTGCGAATGACTGTACACTTGGAAGTCATCAGGAGTAGCCATCTAGAGCAAGCAGACACCACTGTTTGTCCCACAAGTAGGGCCCACTCCCTTCTGATACGGATAGTAGTTGTCTATTTCCTAGTAGGAGACACCAGAGAGGTCAAACCGCCCAAGGATGACCAAGGTTAGCCTGCCATCATGAATCTAGGGTCCGCCCATCTTGTCACATGTATACCCCTAGACTTTCCCATTCCTATGGGCACACCCCTAGCTCATCCCCTTCCTGTTATGCTTATGCCTATCATAGATCCCCTTCCTACAATGTGTATGCCTATTGTACTGCCCCTTCCTGTGACGTGGTTACCTGTAATCATGTCCCCCTAATGAGATATAACCCTTGGTTAGCAATAAAGTTAAAGCTCTCCCTGGTTCTCGCTCCCAGCTGGGGGGGGACTCTCCTGCTCTCATGGCCGGGCTCCCCCCACAAGGACCACCAAGTGGGGCTGAGGTGAGCATGCTACCATGAACTGTGTCTGACTCCATTACTTGACTCTCTACCTCTCAAGCTATGACTTTACTATAATCTTGTTATCACTGTACAGTTGCGCCTACTGGACCTGTGATGATTTGTTGGGGACTCTCCCTCCTCTCTCCACATTCCCCATTTCCATTGGCTCAATGTTCCTGACTCTCCCTGCTTCTGAGTGCTACTTTCAGGCCTCATATAGTGGGGTGATCTGGGGAGCACCTCCCTTACAGACATTACTGTTCATGTCACAAGCCTGCCTATTGTTTGGCTATAATGTGGCTCCCAGGAGGGGGTTCATTTCTAAGTTTGAAGGGGATCTGAGAGCCATAAATTAGGAGTTTACCAGTTTCTTTTCGACCAGTAAGTCTGCTCTTTTAAAGATTTTCCATATTGAGATATAATTTACATATCATACACTTCCATAGTTTAGTCATATTTTAAAATAGTTGTATACACATCACCACAATCAGTTCCAGAACATCGGCCCCCCTCCTGCAGTCATTATTTGCTCCCCATTTCCCTCCAACCCTCACCCCATATCCCCGATAAGCCATTATTCCAATTCTCTATATATCCTCCCAACCTGTGCTTATATGCTGGAAAACGCACCCAAAAGCCCCCCAAAAAACCAACAGCAGTATTAAAATCAGAGAAAAAAAATATGCTGCAAAAAAAGGAAATACTGAAAACTAGAACAAATCCAAAGTGGGTCAAAGGGAGAACAGAGAACCAGGTACCATATTTTAACCTAATTATATCTGCCATCAGAGTGTTCAATAGTTTGCCTGGTTGCAAGATTATTCACGTCCCTGGCCCAACAGAGACTTAATTTATGTGGGACCTTTGGGCTCCCACTGTCATCAATAGCCTTCAGCAAATTGAGTGCTCACAACCTAAGTTCTGATATTTTCCCTCCTTCGATTTGGATTTTGTTATCCTTGGATCACACAGGCTGCTGTGGTTCTTCTATGTAGACATAGTGGATGCTTCACTTAGGTGGCTTCTTGTTTGAATATAAGCCTCTAAAACCCCAGACACTATTTTTGGTAGCTGGGTCCCACCTGTTTTCTTCACCACTTTGCTATAGTACCCATATCTTCAGTGATTTCTTCAGAAGGGTGGTGTTCTTGGATTGGGGGTAGAATAAGTTCAAGTTCAAAATCCATTCACTTGTCTATGGATTATGTCTCTGGCTTACTTTTGAGGCCTCAATTTTATGACTATTATCAAGCATCCCTCTGGTGTGTAAGTTAACCATCGATTGTGTCATTAATTCATCCAATGGCATAGAATTTAACGTATTGTTGAGAAAAGGAATTTATAAAAGTATAAACTGGCTCTAAACTGTAATCCGTGAGTTGTTGATTTGTACAGATTGAGCACTTTCATTGACCATGGGGATTGGTGATGGGGGAAACTGTCAGTAACATTCATTCATAAAGGCAGAACCTTGCCTACCAGATTAATGCGTGTCACAGTAAAGCAAGGAGGGCATTGGAATACTAAATAGATGGTGATTCTGGGCCACCTTTCATTGGATACCCACAAAGCAAGGGAGCCTAACTAAGGTCCAGCAACCAATAGTGCTGTAGGGTGGCAGTCATCTAGGTCTTCTCCCACTAAGGAGTTTCAGTCCTGAGTCCAATAACTGCAGCTGAGTCCGTTCAGTGGGGTTTCCACATTGAGTCCTGGTGTGGCCTATGGGGGATGTTCCCCCAAATGATAGGAGTTTAAGGTCACCGTAGGTCATCACAAAATGCCCGGGTCACTAAGGGCTGGCTTAGAAAATAAGTCAAGAGTGTCTAACCACGCACACAGGACCGGCCTTAGTCTCCCCTTGAATTCTCCAGCATTGCTGTTGAGCGGCCCTTCCCAATGTGAAGTTGCTCCTCCCCATTTACCTGCCAACAGAAGTCTGGACGCCTCCCCCAAAACTTAGAAGCTCTCCTCCCCTTATTAATTTAAATTGCCCTCGATTGTTCTTTCACTCTGGGACCTTCTGTAGTGGTCCTAGACAAAGCTTGATCAATCCATTCTGGTTCATCTATATTTTACCATTTGGGTCCATTCTGGTTCCCTTGAGGTGTGGCTGAGCTGGAAAGAACTGGCTCAAAGCCCTGGTCTAAAGGATACAATTCACTCCCAGCTCATTTTTTGGTAGCAGTGAGGTTTCCATGTGTTTGGGGATTGGCTCTATTTTAAGCCTAACAAAATGGCAAAACTGACTCATTAGAGTTCCACATTATTTGTATGACCCTACCCTTACGGTGTTCCATGTACCTTATTTACATTATTACCAAACTGTCTAAACCCACTGGTAGATCAAAAGCACCTTATTTGCATAACCCTATTCAATCTTTGGGTGGGAGACACAGAGACTGGCTAGAAGGGACATCAATATGAAGCAATTGCCTGTACCACACTGTGGAGCCCAGTTCTACTCTGATACACCGAGGGTCACCATAAGTGTGTTAGGCCGGGTGGGTTACAGAAACAAATTGAGGCACTCGTGTAAGAATGCGCTGTATATCAAGAAGAAATTATGTATCAAGAAAGCATCTCAGCCTAATCCAACTCAAGTCCATAAGCCTGAAACTAGTCCCTAAGTCCCTCTTCTGACTCATGCAGCCGGTGGTGGATGCATCTCCAAGGCTCCAGAAGCAACCAGGGTCGGCCAGCAGGAAGGTGAAAAAAGAGAAATGAGGTAGGTTCCCAGGGCCCTCCTTATAAGAAGGCCACACCCACAAGAAGTCACCATCAGTCTGTGAGAGATTGACAGGCTAAACCCCACCCCTACACTTTTACATATCTTCAAGTTGACGTGAAATTATACTACAATAAGTAGGAATCAACGTGGCATCTGGTCTTCTCCCATTCCACCACCACCAGAATAAAGCATTCCAATGTGACCGGAGATCTTCAGATGGTGACTGCTCTCGCAAACTGTGGATTCTGTTGTGTGTACATTTTGTACACACATTTTCCCCTTGGTACTAGTTTGAGGCTCCACCACAGTGCTACTGTGTACAACTACTTCTAACTGCTGCTTGGGACTCGGTACTGTCGCCAACGATGGACCCCAGGCTGCCCTCAGCCTCCCCAGTCATCACAAAGAAAACCACAGACTTCCTTTTATGTGTCCCCGCACAAACGTGTACAAAGTTGTCCATGAGTTGAATACTCGTGAGGGGAATTGCTGGGCCATAGGTCTGCAATAACTGAATAGGACTGAGTGGTGACAAAGGACTGTTGGAAATGTGACAATCTCTGTTTCACCCAGCAGTGTCTGAAGGTTCCTGCACAGTGCAGTATACTACTTGAGATGGCTCTTCTAGCTAGTCTTTGTAATTCCCTCCCAACGAGTGGGTAGGATGATGCAGTGAGGTGTTTGTGGCCCACCAAGGGGGTCGGATAGCTTGCTAATCATGTAGAAAAGGTACACAGCACCTTAGGAGTGGGACCATGCATATAAAGTGTACGGAACTCTAATGTGGGGCTTGGTCAGCTTTGCCATCTTACTAGGCTTATATATTTCCAATGGTTTTAAATATATTTTTAAAAGGATTATGCAATCACCACAATAAATTTTAGAACATTTTCTTCATTTTGTATTCATTATTATTTGCTCCCCACCTCATCCCCCCAACCTCCCCTGCCATAATCCTAAAAATTATTAGATAGTCTCTAGATTTACCTATCCTGGATATCATTTAAAGAAAATCAAACAACCCCATCCCCACCAACAAGAACAAAAATAAAACACAAAATCCTCAACCCAAAAGAAAGCAGATAATGAGAAAATCTGAACAAGTTTAAAAATGGGTCAAAAGGGAAAACACATGGTAAGATGTTAAATTCTAACCCATGTCTGTAGTAATCTAGGTTCCAATGTACTGTCTGAGGATAAGACTGTTCACATCTTGGTCAATGAACCAATAGAAATAGAGGCTTAATACAGTGAGACCTCTGAACATGGATTTGGGGCTTTTGCTATCATTCATAGCCTTCTGGAAACCAGGTGCTCAGAATTTGAGCTCTAATACAATTCCATTCTCTGTTCCTGGACTTTATTATTTATAATCCTTGGATCACATAGGTTAGTGTGCTATTTCCATGTGCACTGAGCTAACACCTTACTTACATGGCTGCTTGTTTTAAGACAAGCTTTTAAGGCCCCAGACACTAGCACCCGTATCTTCAATGATTGTTTCATGTATTTCACTGGGTTTAAAATGAGCCCCTTCAAAGGTGGAAAGCAGGGATCTCACTGCCACCAAGAAAGAGGAGCTGGTAGTGGAGCATGTCCTTTGGGTCCTGCGATTTGTGCTGAATCTCCTCCATCCGGGAGATGGAGAGCCATGGCACTAAGAAATGGCGGAGGAGCAGCAGTGGCAGCAGAGGCACCAACACCACGGTCCTGAGACAGAGCAGTGAGTGGGAGGGGAACAAGAAGTGGAGTGAGGCAACAAGAGCCTCTGGGCAGGGGGCTCTCTCACTCCCAGAGTGGAGAGGTGTGCTCCGCAGGCTGTTTGCTGGGGAGCTGGGTTTGCCAGCCCACAAAACCAGAGCTGAGATTGGGGTTCCCCAGCAGAGCAGCGTGTCTTTGGGGAATTTAGTGCCAGACTTAAAAGAGCTTTGCAACACCTTCTCCAGCAGGGCAGAAGGCCAAGGGGCCATGGGGCTGAGAGGCCACGGACCACCGAGAGAGGTGCCTGCCGGCCTGGTTGAAAGGAGGTTGTCCTGATCGAAGAATGACATCCTGAGCGTTTCTGATCATGACTTTTCATGTGTTCCCTTCCTTAAGAAGCCCCACAGAGTATTGTCTGTGAGCTCTGTGTGGCTCTTGCAATGAGTGATCAAATACAGCCGAGAAGTAGAGTGTGGGGAGCGAGGCCATGGACATGAGAATTGGGAAAGAGGGTAGGAAGCTGGAGGCATGTCTGACCTCTGCCTCATAGGCATTGGCCTGGGGCTGATGTTGGGTTTGATTCTCCGACCCCCCCGGAGAAGCCAGAGGCGTCAGATGCCGTGCCTCCCCACCCCCCACCCCCAACCCCCCAGGTCATAGTCACACTTTTTATTGGTGGTGGTTGCTGAGGAGATTCCAGCTCATGCAGAGAACTGCTCCAGAGGGCTTACAAAGCTGTAACCTTTCAGAAGCTGACCCCAGGCCTGTTTCTGAGGTTTGAACCTCTGGGTAAGTTTGAATGGCCAATCTTTGGGCAAGTAGCAGAGCATTTAGCTGTTTGCCCCACCCAGGGGCTTACTTGGCCTCCCCACAGACCTTCCTGCTGTCCTCTGGAGGAAATCTACATCCCCTAACTCTGCTGCTAAGGTGTGAGGACTTGGCCCCAGCGCCCCTCTCCCCATTCACCCCAGGCTCCAATGCACACGTGGTGGGTCCTTGGTCCAGGGTGCCCTGCTCTCCCACACACCTGTCCAGTGCCTCGGACACCTGGAACTACTATAGCAAAAACATCACAAAGAGGTTGCTCTCAATAACAGTAGTTTATTTTCTTCCAGTTCTGGAGGTTAGAAGTCTGAATTTAGGGCATGCCTCTAGGAGGATATTCTTTGGAAATGTCAGCATCTAGATGCTGCTGGCCATTCCTGAAGTTCCTTGACATTTGTTTGATGTTCTGTCATCTAGCTATCTACCTATCCTGACCTTTTTATAACTCAGAAATGATTAGATTTAGGACACACCCACCCACCATGACATGATACCGTTCACAAGACTAAGATCTCCTATTTCCAAGCAGTCACGTAACAGGTACCAGAGTGAGGGTTCCCCCAGATTGGGCAGGGTGGTTCTTTCTCCAGGAAGCCTTCCCTGATGCCCCAGCCCCCAGCTGGGCTACGTGCTGCCTCAGGTGTCCCTCATCACCACACCGCCCTGTTGTGCTGTCTGTGTCTTCCCGCATCAATCTCAGCACGACTGTGAGAACCTTAGGGGCTGGGTAAGGCTTTGCTGTGGGGGGTGTCTTGTGCATCGTAGCATATTAAGCCGCATCTTTGGCTTCTGCAGACCATCTGCAAAAAGCCCCCCCCCTCCCCCGCCGACAGAGTGTAACCACCAAAGGTGGCTCCAAATATCATCTGGCCGTCAAGATGACCCTCCGTTCAGCACTCCTGCATTCGCTTACATTATAGACTTGGGACGTAGGGCCAGCTCTCCTGCATATATGTACCATCAGCACCCAGAGCAGGGCTGCTCCTGGGTGCATACATACTCAGTGTGATTGTTGCCCGAATGAACTATGGCCCGTCTTTGGACAAAGACCTGAAGGTGAGGCTCCCCGAGCAGGGTGCCGGGGTAGGAATGGTCTGGGGAGGGACACTTTCCTTCCCTGCCCTCCACTCTCCAACCTCACTGCCATCAAGTCAGCTCCGACTCACAGACCCTAGAGGACAGGGTAGGACTGCCCCTGCGGGCTTCTGAGTCTGCCACTCATGGAGTGGAAAACATCAAGCCCACCCACCCAAATCAACAGCATTTTTTGTTTGTTTTTATAACAGACTCTCGGGGAGGGGAAACTCAGGCACTCAGCTTCTGCTGTGTGGAGTAAGGCCTGCTACTTCAGCTCTCTTCGTCCCACGTGTCCCACTTCAAACAGGTGGACAGCAGCCTATGGGAGCCATGCTCCTCTCTAAGGGCGGTGGGAAGGGCTCTGGCCTCCTGCAGGCTGGGCGGGCCCAGACCTCTCCCATGAGGAACACTCCAGAGGGAGAGGCGAACCATGTGGCATTTATAGGGCGCACGGCTGGGGTCACGGGGACCCCTGAGGAAGACTGGGGCCCAGGGGCATCACTGTTTCAGGGACATCTTCCAGGAACCGAGGGCCTGCATGATCCAGGAGCGCCGCTGGTGGGAAGTGGGCAGGTCCTCGCAGCTGGGGCTCCAGCGGTGCGTGGCGGCCGGGTCGAACACCCAGGAGTCCCGGTACAGCAGCGGCCAGGAGTTCCGCCAGCAGGTGGCCAGGATGTGGTCCTGAGCCTGGGCCGCATAGATGCACACGGACGCTTCGGGGTCATGTCTCAAGTTTTCCAGAGCTGGGGGCACAGGGACGGGAGAGGCAGCTTCCTAAGGCCAGGTCCGCCCCCCTAGCCCCCAACAAGGATCTGCGGAGGTGCAAACCTGCTCACTCTCATCTTTCCTCCCCGCCCATGGCCGTTCCCTTCGGGCGGCCTCCCCTGGTCTCCTCTGACTTCACAGCTCCTCAGACTGTTCCCATACGTCCACGTCTGAACCCCCCGGAAAGCCTCCCGGCCCGCTTCAGCCTGCCGGGATTTCTCATCAGCCGCCCCGTCACAAAACGCAAACCCTGGTGCTTGGGTCCCTCGGAAGAGTCTGACCGACTCTGTGCATCAAATGGGCGTGGCCTCGTTTTCTGAGCCCCCGGGGGCGTGGCCTCTTTTTTAGCCCCCCCCGATGGGCGTGGCCTCGTTTTCTGAGCTTCAGTGGGGTGTGGC